GCCTGTTTCTTTGAATTTATTTACTTCGCACATGTGCCAGAGCGTAACACTGCCCTCAATAATGCTTCTTCCAACTCCAAGGCTTGTACAAATAAAGGGCGAGGCGTCTGTTTCCGTTCGTGCAGAGGCAACCTCAGCCATTCTTCGTCACCAGCATTCAATACAACGTTGAAAACTGAAGAATTAAGATCTACACCTTGGTCTCCCAAGCAGTCTCTCTCCTCTAGACATACAGACCAAAATTCTGCGTGCATTTCTTATCTCCCCACATACGTGTAACAGACAGACGACGGTCTCTCCACTTACCCGCCGATAAGCTGCGTTCATGCGTGTCCAGGGTGAGGCAACGGCGACCGACGCTTTCTCTGAAGCGTTCGTCACGTCGTACAAATCGGTTACGTGTGTCCGACAGCCAACCGGACTCTCGGACACAGCTGAAATGTAACAAATCTCTTTTCAATCAACCGTATTACTACATTGTTTCCATAGAAACGTATACTTTCTTTGTAGGACTTGTGGTTTTCATAGCAACGTACAAAAGGACCCTAGCCTTGTGGTATGTTGCGCAGCGTAGCATCTTGGATGTGTGCCAAAGTCTCGGAAAACATGCTCGCCCCCATCTTCGGGGTTGAATGTAATCTTGACAAAAAACACGTGACTCACTGATCTTACCAACCGCTACAAACCACGCACAGCGTGGTGCTCGGTTAGGCACAAGGAGCGACTTCCTACCGGAGGCTCGCACATCCCGGAACACTGGCAATTCAGAGGCCAACGGATGACAAGTGTTATCAGATGAGGACAGGAGCTTCGCGCAAACGGAGTGGCCACGAAGGAAAGGCGACACTCGTTCGTTTTGCCCGCAAACTTCCCAAAAAGTAAATGCATATACGTACAACTCTGAACGTGGAGACGGCACACTCACCCGAAACGTTGGTATACACAGCGCAGGAGCCCGGAAAACGAACGGGTCACCTCCCCTGAGGCTTAAATTAAGTGAAAGTTCGGCCGGCACGGCGACCAGGCAGTAGCTACTTGGTGCATCGGCTGCGTAGTTGAACAACAATTCCACAGCAAAGTTTGGAAAAGCGAAAACCAACATTACCGAGAGGTTCAGGTGCTCAGGGAACGTAAATCCAACCCACTTCAAATTACCCTCACACGTACACTAAAGTCTCCCAAAGTGGCACACTTCCTTGGATTCCGACCAAAATATTGTATGCATTTCCCATTTCTACTACAGTCCACACACACACGTGACCCTCCTCAAGGTATTGTACCCTGAAGCCGATGTTACGTCACACAAACAATTATATGACCCAACATTTTTTCCTTTCGAAGGAATTCACTCGCTACATACTCCAATTTTTAATTGCGTGTATTGTTTAAGAGGCCCCAAGTTCTCAGGTGTAAATATTTCCCCCAGCATTGTGTTCGTGGAAATGCCTCCAGACCCACAAATGACAAAGCATTGGATCGCAGACCGGGAACCTGACAACTTCCGAAAAAAGAAACTCTCGGTGGACGGGTACGAGGCGGGCCACCATCCAATGGCCCCAGATGCTGACCAACTTTAGCAGAAAGCGTGCGACTAACGAAATGCGTGTTAAAAAGACAAATGTCAAGGCGGTGGTGACCTTCTGGACAATAAACGTGACACTCGCTGAGCTAGTTCTGGAAGTATGTTGACAAAATGGTCCGACGTATCTGTAAGCAACACTCCGGCACCATAAAACACGTCGCTTAAAACAATTCGGTGCGTCTGATGTGAATCTTCATCTGGCTCAAGATACGATTGGGGGGGGGGGGC